ATCAAACGGATATCGCGTTGTGCGCGCGTGTGTATGTGCGATACACGGGACGCCTACGACACGGGCGCGCGATATTATCGCGCGCTCGCTGCGACGGTCGCGACGGTTTGATTCCGGAAGTGCGTCGGCGTCGTCGCGTTCGAAACGTCGACGGCGCGCTTGGTCGGCCTAGGAGTAGTGTATCAGCGTTATTTGACCGCCCCCCACCCCCTCTCACCGTTTCGTTCGAGGGGATAATATTTGAGCGATTTCGGAGGGATTCGGTGACGGTAGCGTGTCGCGAACGAGTTGAAAAAAAAAAAAACTGTTGCGTTTACATACAAATGTACCAGACCCTCCCCCCCTCCGGCTTGTCCGAACATAAATGTAGAACATAAAATAATAGTTTTTACAGAAATTTATATTTTATAATTTACACATTTTTTTCATAGATAATTTCTAGATAATTACTGTCCGTAAAAAACCTAACAGTTTTTCATAAAAAAAATACACACATTTTAATTTGAAAAATGCATCCTTAAGTATTAATCTATTTTTTCAGGATATATACAAGGTGATCTACATAACGTAAGACACTCGCGTTATCTCGGAAAGTACTATTCCGGAATTTATTTTGTAGTTTTTGAAAATCTAAGAAACAACAAGTAACTCCAACACGTTACATTAAACCACAATTTTTTTCGGTCACCCTGATTTTCCCGGGACGAAAATCAGTTTTGATTCTCAAATAACAATCCATATAAAAAATTCTATACATAGATAGCATTTTAGTGTCAATTTTCAATTTTCATTTATTTGTTAACGAGATATTCTACTTTTGAGTTTGTCGTTTCATGGGAAGGGAGAGAGTAGAGGAATATTATTTACTGTTAAAATGTCAATAACAGATTTAAAATACGAAAATTAAATTTTACATCACTAGGGTGCGAATTATAATGCAATTTAACTTTTTTCTAAATGCCCTTTCAAAACACAAAATTATTTTCCCACATTATCAAAGAATTAAAATATGAAATTTTTAATTTGCATTTTTAGGTTTTTAAGGCATTTTTTATTGTTTTTTTATAACATTTAAATCCGTACCTATGCATTACAGTATTATTGTATTAAATTCAAAAACTATAAATGTATAAATATATTAGCACCTATATCTTGTATATTATATTATCGTACGTAGCACGATCTATTTGGTACTTATAATAGTGATATCCATATGTGAATAATTATTTTCATTTAGTTTGTTACTTTTGTTACAGAACTGTAATTTAAAAATCGTAAAAAAATTAATAACGCATAAGTGCAATAAGACGATTTGTCTAACTATATATAGTTGAGTTATACTTTCACTGATGATTGTCATTACGCAATATGAATCCGTTCGTCGATAATATATTCCAACACTTTTTAGCATATATTAGGAAATGAGATATTCAACATTTGTATGCAAATTTATAATCGCGCAGTATCAGCTGGACAAATGCGTTTTAAAGTTTTTATACAAGGAATCAAGAAGAGAAGAGAAATGAGAACAGTTTTCAATCTAGCCGTTATAATTACAAACATTTGTTTGAATATTTTTGCATACTTTACTTGTTGTTGCATATTATACAGAGTGATCAACATAACGTGAGACACTCATTATCTTAGAAAGTATTACATTTTTTCGAAATTAATTTTTTAGATCATTTAAGAAATAAGTAACTCTAAAATGTTATATTACTCTTCTTTGTTATGCTTAATTTAGATGATGAAACACTAACTACTTTTAATTTTTGAATTGCAACCTATTTTAAAAGTTCCACAAATAGATGGAATATTAGTTTAAATCAATTTTGAAGTTGAAATTTTTATTTCTGTTAACCTACTAACGAAATATTCCATTTCTAAGTTTCAATGGGGGTAGTGTGCGGAAATTCAATAGTGCCCCATCACTTCCCCTACCTAAACTTAAAAGCTGCATACATCGTAAATGGGCAGACAGAAAACAAAGTCCGAAAAAAGTTAATTCTTTCCGAGATAATAAGTGTCTCACATTATGTTAATCACTCTGTATATTATAATTACGTTGATTTGTTTTTATTTATGTACCATAAATAATACATAGTTTAGTTGACAAAAAAAAAATCTATACGGCTGTGTTACCCGTTTGAGTATTATCTTAAAACGAAGTAAAACCCAAATAATGATCAACGTATATTCATTTCCTGGCGGTGGAATAAAAATTTGTCCAATTAATTTATAAAAAAAATAATATGAAACACACCAGTTTTCAGCAAATTTGATTTTACTTCAAAAATTATTACATATTTAAGCTTTTTACGTTTTTTTATTTGCATATGTATGCACACATATTCCATTGTATTTAGTGCATGAAGTTCCGAACACTGCTTATTATTAATTAATAACTAATATTACATTCATTTAATTTTTCATAGACCTACTTTAAATTTGTAATCACATTAAGTGTTTGCGCACTATACACGCTGCAGGAACTTTTGTGCTGCTTTGAAGTTTTGTGTAATATATTAACGCTTTGACATTTTTTTTTTATTTTTTTATCCAAAATCAATCATATTACATCGTACATGTTCATCGTCTCTTCCCATTCAATACATATACAGAACGCGAATATTTGTTCTATACATTTTTACAAGAACTCTTGCAAAACATTTGAGAAACGATCCATAAACATACTTGTTTAGTAAACCAAGCCCTCGGTTTTTCACCACAGAAATGTGTGAAGCGAGACGAGTGCCCTTATATGTATATTGTACATCGCCAGTAAACTCAATATCCTATCCGTGATGTTGTTTCGTTTTGCAGTGTTTCTAAAGTTCCTACGCGGAAACAGCATATTAAAAAGATATAGAAATCGAAAACTTTATTAATATACTTTCGTGTAAAACTTTGTTTTTTTCCTTCTAACAACGTGTTTTATTATCAAAAACATAGAACTTTTAGTCATAATATACTGCCCGTATACGAAAATAATACTATATCAATATAATAATTTAAACACATTGATGCTATGAATTAATATTAAATATCCCGTTAATAAATCACTAGCTGTCTCGTATGGCTTTTTTCGTATCGGTGTTGAACGAAAAAATAACTAAAAAACTAAAACGTATTTCAACGTTTTGTCGCTTTAGTAACATATCTTTAAATATATATGTTTCAATCTAATTATACTAACAATCTAACAAGGAACCAGTTTCTTTGGTAACTATACAGTTTGTTTTGCGTATCCTCGTAACAACCATTGCGATTCTCCCACGGATTATTATCTTGTTATTTATTTTTTTTGTTTTGTTTATTTTAGCTTTTTCATTTTATTTCTTCTGTATCACCAACATAAATCAACAAAAGTAATTCTATTTTCGTACTAAAAATATCAACAACTGTGTGTTATTGGTAACCCCCTCCATTGGCTCCATTTAGAAATTAGGGTTTGCATACGGGAATAATGTAGCCTATATGATATTCCTGGTCTAGAACTATATATGCAAAGTTTCATCTCAATCCGTCAGTAGTTTGGGCGAGAAGTCATAACAAACATACCATACATCCAAACCAACTTTCACATTTCTAGTAAGAAAACTAAGAGTAATATATAAGACGAAGCCGGACATCTTGACATGGCCGTTTTGTGAGCTATTCGACGTGGAATAAAATTAAGTTCATTAGTTTTAACTTTTTTACGCATTATTTCAACCTGGTAAATAAATTATAGAAAAAATAAAAGTGTTTTATTGAATAGCAAAATGTATCCTAGTTATTGCATTTTATAAACAAGCCGTTTTGGCGATTTCGGTTATTACTTTAGTTACAGCTTTTGGTTGTAAGTTATCATAATCAAACAAAAAGACCGGTATAATGTTTGGTTATTGAAAAGTAATGATTATAGATAGGTATGTCTGATAACGAATATAACCAGGTTATTGGCCAAAACACAGCTAGTAAATAATATATATGCAAATTGTCGACTCAATCTAAAAAATATTTCTGTTTACTATCTTATCGCAATCTAATTTTTAAACTGAAGGGCTATGTGCTTCATTTCTTGTCGAAATTCGTTTTAAACGTTATCTGATAAAGAAAAAAAATACTCGTATATACGATACGATTCCAATACTCGTATATACGATACGACTCCAATAATCTGTATAAGAAATACAACGTATTTGTTGCTGTCTGTTATTCTGCTCGACGAAATAACTTCACACCAAAATATAGCTTACGCCGAAATTTCATAGACCGATAATAAGTATTAAGTACCTTTTTTTTTCCCTTCCAAATGGGATTGGATATACTTTTTGCATCTAACGCGTCACATTCCTTTCCCTAACCAACCCTCATATCAATAAATTACAGACAATAATATTATACAGAAGTAAGCTGTTATTATAGGTACCTACCAAATGTGTTAAATTTTACAAGCGTAACAAGAAAATACACATAACTATTGTTTATTACATTTTATTCGCACAAGTTATAAGTCATCTTTCTAATTAGACTGAATCAAATCATATAATAAGCCATAAAAAGTAGTAAAATAAATCTTTAGAAACCAACAAATAACTCTGAATGTACTTCTGTTTCCAGGACAACCATTTAAGTCATTTCCCTCTTTGTAACTAAAGGATATCCCCCCCCCCATAAAACAAACCAAAATTTAAGCGTGATCTGCAGTGAGAACTAATACAAAACTTGTATTTTAAAAATATGAGTTTTAGATGTGAACAGACCCTAAAGCAGTCCAATAATTTTCAATATTTCTCCCAAATATATACCATTAATAGACTAAAAATGCTAACAAAAATCACCCTTGAGGTTTCTCTTATTAGTGCAGATCATTTGCAAGACGTTGTTTCAGTTTTAATTAAGTTAAAATGATAACATTTAAAAAAATAAATAATTTCTTTAGCATAACTGTATACCCTTTTTTTGAAAGAAATGTAAAAACTAAAGATGACGTTTTTTAAGAGCATTCAGAAGTAATGGGACTGAATTTCCTTTCACAAATTTCAACAAACGTTTATGGATTGTTTTCAGACGTATCGGCAATATGGCAAATGAGTCCTATGGAACCGCCTAGTTTCATAGAAGAACCACCGAGCCTTATATATTTCTCTAACACTACGGGTATCCTGATAAACTGCCAGGGACAAGGGAACCCACAACCTAATGTCACTTGGCTGCACTACAACAACCGAATTGTGACTGACATACCGAGGCTCAGGTACTGTACATAATTATTTATTTTTATTTAGATTTTAAATATAAACTAAAAACTGACCACAATCACAAAAGTGATAGTATAAAATAATGTATTTTTTTTTATCATTTCAAATTCAAATAATAATGCCATGAAAATCTTAAATCACGACATTTCAGAACATGTTTAACCGAATCATTTTTTTGTTATCAATAATTTATTTTTGCATAAAAATACAAATTGAATTATTATAATAATCTACTTTTCCAACTTTCTATCTAAAACAGCGGCACATTCGTCAGTAGTATCTTTTGTTTTAACACGAATATGTTTTTGAGCTGAGGGTCAGTCGAAAATTTGGGGAACAATTTTACTGTAATATAAAAAAACTGACGCTGATTTCCATAGTAATAACAACAATAATATAATTAAACATGATACCATAATATCGATATCCAAGATTCTATAGTGTTCCGTGTAACAAAGAAAATAAGCAAATTGTTTTAATGTATTTTTTTTTTTTTTTTGACTTATTGCCTATTATATTAAATAAATGTTTTACTTGTCAGATTTGTTTTTAAAGATTGTATTAAATATATTTGTATAAAAATAATTTTGGTTACAGTGGTTTTATTATACGTAAAATAATTCATACAAGAATCGAAAATAGCTGAGTTTGTCCGTTTAGTAAATCCGAATTTACAATGAAATGTCGGATTTCGGCTTTCGATAATCCGGATTGAAGCTCGACAATCCGGATTTTTCCCATCATATTTTAATACTCTAAAACGTATATCGTTAACTTGCTAAGTTATTTTTTAAATATTATTTATAAATGTATAATCTATGATAGGTAGTTTGAAATCGTGAAAAAGATTGCGAATCACTGGTTTATATAATCGGAGAGCCGTCGCGAATAGAGGAAATGAAATGGATGTCTACCTTTAGATTAAAATATCGTGCTCGACGCTCGATAATAATAATATTACCTATTGGCTGTTAACAATGATAAACATATCTACAAGCGTTTTGTAGGTATTTTTTAAAATCTGATTCGGTATATGCTCGTACAATATGAATACAAATTCCAATAAATCAAGAATAGCGAGTGGATACGCCTACAAAGCACGTAAATAACGCGATATATTATATCATTAATTTACCGACACCCGAATAGGCAGCAAATCCTGTAACAATCGTTGAAAAATACGCGAACGCAATTTAATTTCAATGCATTTGAATGTCCGATTCAACAACGGATCGAACTCACACATAAAACGAATTTATATTGCAGTAAACAAACAGTAGGTAGCTGTTCTTACGACCAATACAAATTCTCTCAGTGATTGTTTATGTATTTTAATGTAAAGTCCGGAACTTTCATTGAAATTAAAATTTTCACGGACGATTTTCTTGCACGAATAGTCGTTATTAGATAATAATTGCGAGTCAAAAATACGTGTATACTTATAGTACTTACACACATATCGATTGTACAGTTTCTGTTTTTTCCACTGTACATATTACTATATTGATTATAAATAATAGAAGGTATTTGAAATGTTTTTATATTAATAAATAATACAATTTATTACCAATATGAATAAATACAATTTGATAAAAAGGATTAACCGTGCAATACGCGAGGATGTGATACCCGAGTGTTATTGTCTCCGTCTTACAAACGTACGACATAGCTAATTTACGTTTGGTGAAGATAAAATAACAGCTATCATAAAACTTAAAGATAAGAAAAATGTCTGTGCAACGGTTATATTTACGATGTTTTATTTCCAAGCAACATTATTAAATTGTGATATTGCATGTATTGATATTTTCTTTAAAATTAAAATATTAAATAACAGCAATGCCCAGATAATGTTCTTACATTTAAGTTTCGTAATAGATCAATTCATTCTAATATGTAAACTAACAGCACTACGTTGTCCCTGCTGAACGCAAATGTCCTATGCCATACGTTTGAAAGACGGAGATAACACATGCAGCTAACACGCCCTCTTAATTAAGTTTAAAACCAAATGTCGACTTTACTCGGTTAAAAATTTAACAGACCTACATCTGCATACAAATTAAAACTAAATATGTGCCGTTTGTTTTATTATGGTTAACGTAAAAAAATTAACTATAGTTGTTGAGTTAAAAAGTTTTAACATTACTTATAATGTTTTAACTGTCAACCGCGTTGATTATGAATACATCTTGTAATCAAATATCATAGACATTATAGTTTATTTTTACATCCGGATTTTGACTCGCATGCGGCCAGAATAAAATATTTCTTACATAAAAATAGAATTATCATTTAATAAATAATCTATATTCAGAAATGTAAAAAAAATAAAAAAAAAATTCCTTGCTCTTTATACTATTGGAACGTATATATAATTATACATACACATTTCGATACTTCTACTCCGGTGGGTTTGTCGTCGCCGTTGTCGAAATGTTAAGTGTACCAGAAAATAAGCGTGCCTACCTATCAGTTCCGATTATGTATATTCTAAAGGACGTTTCGGGCGGGCTTTTGACTGTTTTACGCAGTTAATATAACGCGAAAGTTTCCCCGTTTAAAGTCTATTTATGATTTTCTCTGTATTTATATATATATATATATAGGTAGCGCATTTTCTTTTATGTAAAAATCAAAATAGAAAAAAATAAAAATCGTTCCACTTTGAACACGATTTACGCGTGTGCTGCAGTATTTTTATACACTGTGTTTAGCATGTAGACCCGCCGCATTATCTTTTTTTCGTATTTAATACAATTTCCGGCGTCCCGTCCTGTAAACCCCCACACATCACGTCCAATATTTGCACACCGGATCAATCTGTTTGAACAATATCATATACACACTCCGAGCCGATTATATTATAATATGTGCCCGGCGAAACTATATTATATAGGTATCTACCTCTTGACACACTCGACGTTACAAACCCGAAACGGACCCTCGTGCCGTTATTTTATAATCCCGAAATTATTGTGATCAGTTTCACTATTATAAGGCTATGGGGTGTAAGCGTATTCCTCCCTCTTCGGTGATTCACGATTCCACATATACCTTTCATTCACACAATTTATATATGTGATGATGCGATGTGTTAAGAGAGTTGTGTTATTTCGATCACAAAAATCAAATTATTTATTTGATGAAAAAAAAAATAAACCAAAAAACGGATTCGAGCATTAGAGTTTATTAACTTTAGGATATAAGTAACTAACGGACTAAGTACTAACGGACGCAAGTAATGAGGTCAGTAGTTTAGCTGATCAGAGTAATCTAAACATTTGGAGAAAGGTATGTCGTATTTTTGGAAATATAGAATAACCCACAATTTTTAAACAATTTTAGGTGGAGGTCAATGGAGCTTATTTGACTTTGGAAGTTTGTACTCATTAGTGACCTGTACGTATACTACAAATGCATATGTGTTCAAATTAATGTGTTAAACAAATTTTTAAAATTGTATTATATGTGAGTGATAGTTAAATGGAAAATTCGGAAATTTGTATTATTATATCAGAGAAAAATAAAGAACCAGCTGTGCTTAATGTGTATAAATATCGGTGTTCGTAAATACAATCATTTTTAAAAGTGATACTGTTTTTCCAAAAATAATTGCTCGGCGTTTATTTTTCATTTATGGTAATGACGCATCAATATTTATACAGAATCGAGTTATTTTAAGGTAAAAAAAATTAATTTGTGCAACGAAAATGTGAGGAGTCGTGTAAGTAAAAAGAAAAGGTATTGTGTGGAATCGTGTGTTATCCTTCCTTGCAAAAACAAACCAATGCAATAAAAAGTGAAAACACGAAAATCGGAGGTGGCGTAGAGATATTATTATAATTAAATTCATTGATATCGTTCTCTGATAACGAAAAAAAAAATCATATCGGTTCAATCATAGATATATTAACTAAATAGACTGCACCTAGGGAAAAAATTACTCAGCCAACATCTGAAAAACAAACACGGGTGTTATCAAAAATAAAAAATGTATTTCTAGTGTTTTCATGAAAAGCATTAATCATACGTAATATCATAGATTACGGCCTTAGAAGATAAGTTCGAGACACTGAGCAATCAAACGTGGTAGCTTAAGGAGACAATTTATTAGTATCTGTTTTATTCACGCGATATTAATATCGCGACGAACGTAACTTTGTGTATTTTATAGAAGATTGAAAAATCATAATTATAATTAGTTCAAATAAATAATAATAGTTATATTGTTATTTTATTTCTGACTGTAAGCGTATTTACATAAAACATAATATAAGTTTAAAACTTATAAATATATTAGCTAGGTACTTGTATACTATGTATACTATTAGGTTGTGCACTATACCTACATACATATAGATACTCAGAAACTGCAGGATAACATACTATCATATAATCTACAAGTCCAAATTAAATAATATAATAATATTAATATTAAATTTAGTAACACGAAATTGCTTTTAGAAGATAATGACGGACTCGAATGATTTTATTAAGGCAAAATCTGGCAAAAATTTTAGTTGTCCTGCCACAAATGGTTGAGATAAAGAGAAAAAAGAGTATTGTTGCTTTGTTTAATAGGAAAAATCATTAAATTAAATTCATACATTATCTATAATATTATTTATGATAAACCACAATATACGTGTGATTACCACGAATTCTATTTCATTTATAAAAAAACCCCATGAGAATTGTTTTTTCTTCCCGGATACCTCTTTTTGATTGTCAGATTGTTTGATTTTCAAGAAAATATGAAACATATACAAGGCGCGGTGCATTAGCTAATACGTCTATGGGTTCAATACACGATGATGAAAAGATATGGATCTCCGTCAACACGGAGAGACAATAGTTTTAAAAAAATAATAATAATAAACGGTAACACGCTATTGACCTCTCTTTTCGAGGTCACAAATAAGGGTGACTATGGGTAATAATTCGTAATTAAATAAATATCAAATTATATACGCGATTTGCTTGTATTATTGTTATTATTATACTGTTGTTTGCCGTGGAAAACATTAAACACACGGAAATGCACAACACATGTGACGCCGATAATTATAGGGAGCGACTCATTTTTTTAATTACCCGTGTGCCGTATATTTGAAATATACGATGCGAAAAGGACGGACGGTATGAAAATGCCGTTCATTTGGAAAATGCAAAAAAAAAAACCCCGAGAAAAAAATCACTCGCGCGTAATATTAATTTATTTTTTGTCTGTGGCTCTAGCCCGAGCAGCCCCTCTTGTTTAATAATTATATATGAATAACGTTTACAATAGGCGGTACACATATACAGCATGATTATTTTAGGATATCAAAATATGAATATTTTAAGTAAACTTGATATCAATTTGGGTTGTCAGTCGTTTCAATCTTTCACTGATAAACAGATAAATCGAAAGCTACACCTACGCTGACTATTTTTCATAATTCATTTAAAACTGTTTACAATCCTATTTTGATAGATTCTGCAAAAATTAAAAAAAATAATTACGGCTAAAACTTACCAAGTTGTAAACAATATTTTATAGTTCATTCACGTTTTCCGAAATGTTCGCTCTAAGTCGTGTGCATAATGACTACAGTGATTGACAATTATTGATGATAATGTAAAACAGTTAACATTAAATAGACATTGTAATAAAATGATTTATTGTATTATGACAACAATAATGAATAAATAGGAGAAAAGACGTTCTTGGATAATGAAGACGGGTGTAACCACTGTTATAGGTAATTTAATTTATATCTGTAAGCAACGATAAACCATTGCTTACGAAAGAACGATTCTGAGCGGAGTTTAGTTGACAGTAATGCTTTGTCAACAATATATAAGTAATTTTATGATAAAATAATTAAATAGGCATTATAATTATATTATCTTTAATAATATTTGTTTCATGTACCGATTTTCCTGTTTTTCCTACGTTTTTCCCGGTTTTCCCATGTTTTTTCCTAATTTTTCAAATTTATTGGGGAAATTTTTGAGAAAATCGAAAAATAACCTCCTAAAAGTACCTCCCCAGTAAAATTTTCTTTTAGAAACATTGCTATCATTATAAATTTGAGTGAAATTTCTGGTAGAAAAGTTGTCTACAGAAAAAAAAATAAATAAACAACTTTGTAAAACCATAAGCTTTTTCGCTCAACTCAAAATCTAGAATGTATAGATATGATTACCATTTTAGAAGACTCTGAATAACGCCAAATATTAAAACGGCCACAACTTAAAAAATATTAATGGTAAAAGTTCACTTTTTCTTCGATTGAATAAAGAATTTACAATTTACAATTACTATAGATATTAAACTGATTATAAAAGTTTCCATGACTTGGCGATAATAATTTAAATTGTTAATAACGTGTATACAGTATACAAGTCTAGAGCAATGAAAGGGTTGATCGTTTATTAATGTTCTTATTTGCGATATTTTCGAAATTACCTTTATTCGGTATTACACATTTCTACATATACCGTAAACACGAAATATTTTCTATTCGATTCTGAATATTATGGATTGCTTGTTGAAAATCTTAAGTCGAAAAGGGTAAAATATTGAAAATATTGTACGGTAAATAAGACCGTTAAACGATTCTAATTATGATGATTAACAAAAATCAAATTTACTAAAAATCTTCGTAGATAATTATCGGTTCATGATAAAATGTATAAAATAATAGTTCTATGACCTGTATATATAGTTATATCAGAGGTGTTCCAATAAAAACGCTGCAATTTAAATTGCCCTGTATTTTTTTATTTTTAGATTGTCAACACTAGTTTTTAAAATTTATTTTTTTTTATCATTAATGTTCAATTTTTATGTTTAAATAATGTTTATGTATTAATGTTTTTTTTTTTATCTTATCGCAATTAATGGAGGGAGCACAATACAAGCCGAATACTAATTTTGTTCGTGAAATCTTATTATAAAAATAATGAGTCTGCGACGGAAACTGTTTAGGAAATTCCGAACGATTCTTGGATATAGTGCCAACTGTGACAGTAGTATAAAAAGACAGGATCAGACTAAAGCAAGAAATTAAACGTATCATAGGGAAAGTCGTCAGACAATTCTTTAAAAAGTTATAACAAATACTATGGATTATAAATCAACAGCCCGATTACTCAGCTGAGTAAACCTTTTACTTAGCCTCATGTAGCACCTTGACTATATGCCAGATATCATGTTCCATACCTAAACGTAAAATGAAACAAAAATTTAATTTTAATGTTATGTAATTTTTGATTACAGATCTAATAAAATAAAATAAATTTATAACACCGATAAAAACTGGCGTTCTTATTGAGACACCACAAATAAATATACAATATATTATCTAGTTTGAAAAATTTTAAATTTTTACCTTCGGCCGCTTAAAAGTGTGTTTGCCATAATATATTATTACCGTATAAAACCGCAAAGGACACGGCGGCGGCAGTGTAGGTGATATGAAAAGGTAATATTAAATACATACATACAAAGCAAGATGTGCATTTATAAGTTTAAATGAGCGCGGAAAAAATAACACAAAAAAATTGTAAAACAACACTCGTACTTCAACGGTAGTATAGGTGTATTTTCCACAAGTTTTTGCGGGCGTGTGAGTTCGAAAGAGAAGAGAAATACGTAAATTATTTTTTTACGCTCGGTCCGTGAAATAATTTCCTTTATATTTTTTCTCCCCTTAGCTCGTTATATAATTATTATTACACGGTTATTTTTTTTTTTTCCCAGGGAAACGCAACCGAACGGCAACCTGTACTTCCCTCCGTTTCCTGCGCAATCGTACACACCGGAAATACACGCAGCCACCTACAAGTGTGCTCTGGAAAACCCAGTGGGCAGAATCATCTCGCGGGAGGCCAGGATAAAAGCCGGTAAGTAATACGCGAATATCCGTATTTATGTTTAATTTCTTCGAAAAATTGGTAAATTTATTAATATTTTTATTTAGTGTAGTTTAAATCAAAATAATTTAAATTATTGTAGACTTAAAACAATTGTATATACAATTAAGGACTCATCATTAGTAAATATTTATAACGCCAAAATTGTGTTTTAAAATAAATGTATAAAATGAACATATTGGATTTTGTAAAAAATCATAACTACCTCCACTGTTTGTAAAGAATGCATTCATTTTTCAACGAATTCGTTCATAAGTATAGAGTATACATTCAATTTATACCCTATGAGTCATGCTTAAAAATACATTAATTTTCTTAACAAATGTGGTTGCAAATTGAATGTAATACATTCTTTCTTAACACTGGTTGATGGATGAAATAATCACTGGTTATTAGTAAATATTTTACATATTATATAATAGAGCAGATTCATCTGTCTGACTATCCATAATTATTTTTCTCGTTTACTTAGAACATAAATTGTGGTGTAATTGAAGTTCAAATTCAAATATCAATACCTATGTATATTGTATAGATAATTTTCATATAAAAAATTTACAACTATGATAGTTTAGAATGAGTTAGAGTTAATTGAGTTATCATTCAACCCTAAGATAAGAACATTATTTGTGCAATGTAGGCTTTATATTTGAGCTATTTTTTTTTCAAAGTGAGATATTAGCATTATTAAATTGTGATGTTTCACAAATTCTTAAAAATTAAATAGCAAACAAATAACGTGAACGTTCTACAGATAATATTCTCATCTTTAAGTTTGATAATAGGTTAATTTACCCTAATAAATACAATATCAAAACTAACAGTACAATGTTGTCCCTGATGAACGAAAATTTCCTGTGTCATTCGTTTGAATAACAAAGAAAACACAAACGGGTATCACGTCCTTTTAATAAACAAGTGTGTCTATGTACAATTTATATACGAATCTAACTTACGCAAAGATCTGAATATACAAAATAAAAAATGCAGAATACATACAGATTACAGAATCGGATAAACGAGTCCGAGACCATCCGTATTTCTGAAATTTAAACACTAAATTGTGGTTGACATGGGTTTTTTTTTTGTATTTTTGGAATGAACATTGAATTATTTGTGTTGATTTATGGGTCACTTTGATAACACTGATGGAAAAAAAAACAGTTATTGTTAGTTAGTTTGGCTGTCCCGAGCAAGAAAGAACCATTACAAATAAACAAAATATCAGGCAACAACGATTAACTAGGTATGTGAAGTACGAGGTTGGAAACGAGGGGGGTTACGTTTTTATTGTGCACGGGCAAATCCGGGCGGGACAGTTTTATAAAATGTAATTTATAGTAGTACATTCACTATATAAAATGTATTTACTTTCAATTTGTGTTAATTGATACAACTCAGATAGTATACATTATACATAAAAACTGGTTAGCCACATAGGCATATATGATATTATAATACTTATAATTACATTTCAATTTAGTCCTTTTTTTATTAATGCGGTTATAAGTGCATTCATTATTTGTACCGAATGTGAATGCATTCACTTTTTAAATTAATGTCCCAAACTCTGACTCTCTCGCATCACTTCGCCGCATTTATATTATCTAAACGATTATATAACTGTCATTTAGTTATAGGTTTATTACTATATTTTAATGTGTGCAAAATGAATTTTCAAAAACAGATTTTTGCTTTGAAATATGAAATCGAAACCACGCGTTTGACTAGGTGAAATCTGTCGAAAAAAAACCCCGTTCAAATGTTAACCTTTTTAAATATCTACTTAAAGATGAAAAAACCAACATTTTTTTTAAAAACAGAAATATCACGTTAAACGGCAAATTTTAGAAAGATACATAGGCATTTTGTTTTATATTGATAAGCTACTTATATGTTATTAAATAAAATAAACCAATAATGCTTCAAAATTGTCTCGGGAAAGTTGTTATTTTTTAAATTATTTATCTTTAAAACAACAAAATCATATCGATCAAAATCGATCCTGAGCGGAGTTCGGCTAATAGTGTAGCTTTTATAATATCATAACATGGTAAAAAAAATTGCATATCATGCAATCATGCATTTTAATTTTTAACAATAAATTAATAAAAATACCTATTTTTCCGTTTTTCTACGTTTTTTTCCGGTTTTCTCATGTTTTTCCGGCTTTTCTCATTTAGTGGGAAAACTCTTGGAAATATCAAAATATTACCTACTTAAAGTACCACCAAAGTCAGATTTCCTTTCGGAAAAAGTGCTACAGTTTTAAATCGGAACAAAATTGCTGGTAGAAAAGTTATCCACAGAAAAAAAAATAAATATTGTAATTCCAATATATTCCCCGTTCCACTCAGAATCTAAAAGTGTATGGCACACCTGAGTTACCAACTGTCAACCGATTTGAATTAATGTACAAGACAAAAAATTGGTATGAAAAGTCCTTATTTAAAAAATCTTCTGAAAATACAACTTTTAAAATATATATACGTCATTTTATAATTATTGTATACAACCGTCGCTGATCAATGAATGATAATATTAATTTGATTGTATATTTCATAGAGTTTTCATAGTAGTTGATAAAAACCATTCATATTTCACTCTATAATACAACATAAGTTTTGTGGATGAACGTTAGTCGAACGTGATCAATTGAAGTTTCATGTTTTTATAAACAACATAAACAAGCCCCACGGGAGTCTATCGAAATTATTTTTATTTCAACGGCAAACATTATATTTTCCGTCGGAGTTTGAATAACAAACAAATACGTATCTAGTGGTGCCGTTAGTTGAATCCACTAGTTTTCAATCAGAAAAGATTTCGACTGAATAAATTTTTTTAAAAACCCCAAAAATATGATTTATAGTGTATGGTTGAAATATCACATAATTTGTTTTACAACGGACAAATTACAATGACTAAATACAAAAACTATTGAGTATACCTACCCAGCTACTCAAATCACCAAGATCACCGGCAAAACAGTGAAACGTCAACATTTATTTTTCTGCAAAGACCAACTAAAAATAATACAATATTCGAATAATATTCATTACCTAAAACTTAATTATTGTCTTGCGTACACTCTAAATTTAATTTAACTTTGAGTCAAGTACAATAATTAAAATACTGGGATGTATAACTGATTAGTGATTAATTAATGGAGCTCTGAATTTATGTTTTTATAGCGCTTATTTAATATATTAGTTTGAATAATATGGTATCGCATTAAAATATTATAAATACGAAACTTTGTTCAGATGTTTGTTAACCCTTCACGCCAAAACTGTTGAACGGGCTTCGATTAAATTTGACAGACAAGTAGAATATGTTCTAGATTAACACACAGGATACTTTTTATCCCAAAATTCAGCTCTTAAAGAGTGGCTGGCAAAAGGCTTTTGATAGTATTGGAAAGAAAACCTTATTATTTTTGTTAACTTACGGATTACTTTGGTGTTACGGATTAAAAAGAAAATGGTTATTATTATTACCTAGTTGATTCGGTTGAAATGGAGAAAGAAGTGCACCCTTTCCAAAAAAAAAATATATTACCAGGTGACAACGATTAACTTTGATAAGTATGGAGGGGAAACCAGTTTTTTTATTTTAGATTCTGAGTGGAGCGAAGAAACTTATAGTTTTACAAAGGTATTTATTATTTATTTTTTTTATCTGTGCGCAACTTTTCTAAAAGGAAATCTGACTGGAAAGATAGTTTAGTAAGGTTAGTTTTTTTTATTTTCTCTGTATTTTTCTAAACAAATGAAAAAAACCCGGGGTAAACGGGAAAATGTACGAAATGTAGGTAGTAGTTGAAAAATATGTCGGCCTTTTTTTCCTGTGAACAATTTTTCTACAAGTAATTTTTCTCCGATCTACAACTATAACTCTTTTTCTGAATGGAAATCTTAATGGGAAGGTACTTTAGGGAGGTCATTTTTTTGATTTTCTCAAGAGTTTTCTCAGAAAATGTGAAAAACCAGGGAAAAATGGAAAACCAAGAAAAACATAAGAAAAACGGGAAAGTCAGTACATTAAACAAATATTATTAAAGAAAATAAATAATGCCTATTTAATTATTTTACCATAAAATGGCTTATATATTGTTGACAAAGCATCACTATCAACTGAACTCCGCTCAGAATCGTTTTTTTGTAAGCAATGATTTATCGTTGCTTACAGATATACATTAAGTTAACTATAACAGCGGCTACACCTGTTATCCTAGAACAGCTTTTTATATTCGTTCAATATTATGCACCTCACCGAGTCAAGAACCCGAAATTTCACACATATGTCTCATAGTGAACCACCATAAGCAACCACCAAGAAAGGATTTATTCAAAATTCAATTCCTAATAAAAAATAATACATTTTTAAAAATATACGGAAAACAACGGTTAACTGCAGCAATTATAGGCACGAGAATGAAAACAGGGAGTCACAAGTAAACACGTTTTAATTTGTTTACATTATTTGTTTTCGTTCAATAATATAATATTATGTCTTGTTAATTAATTGGTCTGATTTATATACTTAATAGTTATACGACTTCAATTAATTTAATTTGTTAAACTCTCTAACGAATTGACAAATTTAATAACAATAAGTATAATTTGTATAGTGATGGCAAAATCATACGAATTATCCGTCCAAAACGCGTTGGCACTCCAAGGAAACGTGGCCGCATTTAAATGTCAATCACCCGAGTTGACTAGTGAACATTTGCTAAAAACGTGGTTCAAAATGGAAGATTCCAGGATGGAAGTCGGCCAATCCATGCCCATAAATCCCGGAGGACGTTACGTGATCGCGTTGGACGGTACTCTACTCGTTCACGATGTAGTGCCCGAGGACACGTTCGATAGATATTTCTGTCAAGTGGTCAACAAGTACACCGGTGATCAAATAGTCAGTCAACCGGCTAAGATAGTAATCAAACAACCGACCGAGGACTCAGCACCGGTCATTACACACCATACGGAAAATGTACATGTCAAAGTCAACCAAGCGGCCGATTTACTGTGCTTGGCCGAAGGATTTCCTCCGCCCACATACAAGTACATATAGAATAATATATATTATACCTATTATTTATACTAATTGTATCACGGTACAGTGTATATATATATATATATACATTTAACACAATTGGGCATTGATGATTCGGCTTCTGTTGTTCCTGACAGGTGGTTCCGGAAAAATCAGGAGAGCGTACAAGAAATATCTATAGAGTCGCTGACCGTGCATCCCTATCAATCGTTACTACACATTATCCGAGTCCCGATGAGCGAATACGCCGTTACGTACGAATGTGTCGTTTCCAACAAGCTCGGTCAAGACAAACGTCAAATTTTACTATCGGCCACATTACCGTTCGCCGTTAGTGCGTACCCGTTGAAACAAGTTAGTGTCCTGGCCGGTTAAATATTTTATCGGCGTACTGTTCTTTTGGTTTGTTCATTTCGCGTAACAAATCACCCGTTCGTCATTTGCACAGGTGGCCGATTCTGGTTCAACTGCCATTTTCAACTGTACCACCCAGGGTACGACGATTCAGCCGCTTTTTTCGTGGCTCAAAGACGGCACGCCGATCCGAAGTTTCGGCAGATACGAACTATCGCATAAAGGCAACCACTTGACAATACACAACGTGATGAAAGGAGATAAAGGCATTTATCAGTGTCTTGCCAGAGATCCGGAGACGGACGAAACCGCTCAAGCCAGTGTTCTTCTGTCACTCGGTGGTATTTAAAACATTACCATTATTAACTACATGTATATTAAACAAATGCCACTCGTCGAAACGACACCCATTCACATAATAGTTTATTTCAGCTGTATCGCCGGAGTTGACGGATATCTTTCACGACCAGGTTATCCGAACGAACGGTTTTCTATCTCTGAAGTGTACGGCTTCCGGTAATCCTCCACCAAGGATTTTTTGGTATCTCGACGGAGGACTCATAATGCCCCAAGGCGATTATGTGTTCGGCAGCTATATGCACGTTGATGGTAATAATTTCCATATATTTCCATTTAAATGTCCTTCCAATGTAACGCGACGTTTAATTTTTGCATTGTTAATATATAGGAAATGTTGTTAGCTACTTAAACGTATCGATCGCCGAAGTACTGCACGGAGGTTATTACACCTGTTTGGCACGGAATATATTAGGATTGAAATCTCATTCGGCGATGGTTAAGATTTACGGTACACACAACGATTGAACACTGCAGATTTAGACGGGTGACGATAGTGTTATAATAATTGTATCGAATATTATTTCAGGCAATCCTATTGCAAGACCACCGTCAAATCTTACCGTACGTTCCGAAGACGACGCATATCTCCAATGTCCCGTCGCCGGTTACCCAATCACCCGGACGGTTTGGCAAAAGAACATGGTGTCGATTCCCAATGATTCAAGGCACACATTATTTGAAAACGGAACTTTTTTCATACGTTCCACACAAGACACTGTGGATTCTGGATTATACGTGTGCACGAAAATCAACGAAGTCGGGCAATCCGCCACGGGAAATCTTTATTTAAGAATAATGAGTAAATATACACCTATTTCAAATTGTTAATTACGGGTTTTATAATGTTTTATACAAACGCCAAACTTTATTCACAGAACCACCGATCGTGACACCATTTCAATTTACAAAAGATCTTCAAGAAAGTGAACGCGCCCAAGTGTCGTGTACGATCAAATCAGGAGATCTTCCGATGGAATTCGTGTGGCGCAAAGACAACAGGGTAGTATCGACCGATAACGAAATAGAACTGCAAAATTTCAGATTTTCTAGTACTTTAATGTTCAGTAATTTAAAACCGCAACATGCGGGTATTTACACTTGTATTGTAAGTAATTCGGTAGCCAGCAGTAACTATTCGGCTTTACTAAACATCAAAGGTAAAGTGTATTCGATTACACACTATTCTCTATAGTTTATTGATTAATATTTTATAATATATTTATATTTTCATGCAGTCCCTCCAAAATGGATTGTTGAACCGGAAGACACGGCTGTCTTAGACCACCAGCCGACAATAATAAATTGCCAAGCTGAAGGATATCCCGAGCCAAAAATTACATGGACCAGAGTATCAGGTTTAATATTTTAATATAATACGTTTAATGCACTTAAACTTATATACATTTGTTTACTATTTATATTTTCTTACACAGACAACAGACAATTACAATCAGTCAATCATTTCTCAACGATAACAATAAAAAATAATGGTTCATTATCTATTCATCTCACGACCAGTTCACATGAAGACAACTATACATGCACCGCAGATAATGGAATAGGACATCAATTATCGAAAACAGTATCCCTAAAAGTCCACAGTAAGTCTGTAAAGAGTTTTTTTTTTTTAAGTAAAATAAAATGAAAGACTTTCAATTTCCCCCTAATTGAAGTTTACATGTGTACGATTTTTTTTTTTTGTATATCTGCGAACAACTTTCTAAGAAACATTTACAGAAATAACGATTTTATAATTTCCATTTTTTGGTGTAATTTGGTTAAAAATAATCGTAGAACCCTGAAATATTGAATAATTATTTCGACGACATTAAAATAAGAATCTATATAATAATTTATTTCTAAAGTAAAAAAAAAAAAACAATAACAAATACTATATAGTATGCTTATATTACAATATTGTCTATAGTGGTTCAAAACTAACCCCTCCCTCCCCTTCAAAAAAAAAACTAAATTTATTTAATTATGCATATAAATAATAAAATTTAATTTAATTCGCATACATTTTAATAATATGTGAACTTCATAGTAAACGCACCTATTTTTTCGCAGTTCCAGCTCGTTTCAAAGAAAAATCCATAAATAAAAGTGGGGTGGTCGGGAGCAGAGTGGTGTTGACGTGTCAGGCAGAAGGTTCAAAGCCTTTGAACATTGAATGGAACCCGTCCGGGGAAAACATCCACACCAGAAATACACACAAAGGATTAATATCGGAACTCTATTTGAATTCTTTACACAGTAGTCAGACGGGAACGTACACTTGCATGGCATCCAATTCTTACGGCTATGATCACATGACGATTAATCTCGTGGTTCGAGGTGAGGCACTGAAACGTTATTGTTATACCTATATTTTTTTTCGTCAATACGTGACATAAATTAATATATCGATTTCAGAACCGCCGGAAACTCCGAGGCAACTGAAAATGGTGGCCACTGGTACCAGGTGGCTAGAATTTCGTTGGGATCCGGTGAAAGTGCACGTGACACATTACATACTACAAATGTGCATAAACTTATGTACGGATTGGTCGAACTACACCATCGGCGGGAGTCTGTCGTACAGCAAAATATCATATTTAAAACCTGCGACAATATACACGACCAGAGTCGTGGCGATAAACGATTTTGGTTCGAGTAACCCGAGCCCCAACACTACCGTCACAACTCTGGAAGAAGGTAATGAACCATAAACTATTAATTATTATTAAAATATGACGTATTATATATTTATCAATAATACCCGTTACAGAACCTAGCGCTCCTCCGAATAACGTAGAAGGAGTGGATATCGAAACGAATCAAATGAAGATTCGATGGAAAGTAAGTTACTGAATGTTTTGGGCTATATAATGGGAATACAAAATAATATTAATCTTTAAAAAAAAATAATAAAAAAAAACCGATACTGTTGATCAAGCAAACCGTTGCCACTATTGTAGACGGGAAGTTGGGAAAGTAAGATTCATGGAGTTGTTTAAATTACATCTGTACGCAAAACACAACGCTAAATCACGATTTTGAGCAAAGTTTGATTAAACATGTTTTTAAATCCCTGATTTTACGATTTTGGTTAAAATAAAATTTTATAAAAAAAAACCATCTACTATATGCTCACCTTTTTTTTCCCCATTATATACAACATATGATAAACCTTTTGTAATAGTTTTTAAATATTTCTAATCAGCCAAAACAGTTTTTTTTCCGAGCAGTTATACATTTTAATATACGTACTATAATACTTGCAATATAATTTAAGATGAAAATGAGGATTAGAACTTGTATAAAGTTTGAATAGTACCTACTACCTCGTATTTGTGTTCCCATAAATAATTTGTCAATGATAGTTATTATGATTTACTATTATTTTGGTTAATAAGATAATTAATTTATAATTTATCAAATAGCTAAAGTAATAAATTATTATGTCCAAAGTTGAAACTATGCACCTACCTATAATAGGTCCAAATATTTTAATTTTCGTTTTTCACAATTTTAGATAATATATTTCTGTTAATCTTAAATTTTTTATTTTTACCAGAATATTAATAATATTTACAATCATAATATAATGTGTTATTAAGATTATAATATTATAAACTGCATATATTACTATAAAATGATAAATCAAAATAAAATCAAGACAAAATTGCATTATTTTTGAAATGTAGAGTTTTGAAATATTTATAGTAAAATAAACAATTTATTGAAAAAAAAATATTCAGAAAATTATTTGTTGAGTTTGAAAATAAATAAAAATAGGTACCATCGATTAGTTGGAAAATTAAATATTTACAATATATTCTAAACCATGAAGATTTTTTTATGGAAATTTCAAAAATATTACAACGATTTTCTTGCTTTTTCCATTAGCCTCCGGATGAGGAAACGTGGAACGGGCAAATACTCGGTTATAAAGTATCCTATGTGGATGTTAATGAAATCGCAGAAATATATACAAAGACGATACTCGGGTTTGAACGCTGTGAGGTCCAGATAACCAACCTTAAGCCGTTTGCGACTTACAGGATTGCGGTACGAGCTTTCAACAGCATAGGGTCCGGGCCAGATTCGGATTTTGTACTGGTGACGACCAGCGAAGGAGGTAAATAAATTAATTGTTCACGTATAATCATTAGCAATGCGTTCAATAAAACCTGATTTAGACTAATAGTGTCCAGAAGTGACTAGTTTAATTTTGAGAGATCTCGTATTTTCGGCCGTTAATACGTATTTCTTGTCGATTAATGTCCTATTAATTAACATTTAAATAACATTGAGAGTAATAAATTGAAATTAAAAATAATAATGATTAATATTATAGCTCTTTACGAGACCTCTTTTGTGCTAAATTTCTCCAGCCCCTAAATCTGTAAATTAAGCTGTCGTATTTAGTACCTATCATCATGATTCATGCATGACGTATTACTCTTTTCAGTGCCCGACGAACCTCCGGAAAACGTCCAGTGTTCGCCGTTGACCGCGGAATCGTTGCGCATGACCTGGAATCAACCGCCAGCACATAGCCACCACGGCATTATATTGGGATACAAAATACACTATAAAAAAGTAAACCCAGTATCAGGTAAGTCATCAAGTAAGGACTTGACAAGGAACTCCCATAAAGGAGGATACCCCTCTAGAATAGTTATAGTACAGACATTTTGTTAACAAATTTTACGTATAATGGATCCGAAATTAGCAAAATTATTTGAAGTCAACGCCAAATTTTATGAGCAAAAATAAACTTATAATTGTATACTAACTATGTATAATAAATATACACCTCCCCTTTTCCAATTGGTGGTTTGGTCCTATATTTCGTCCTTGGGAATTAAATCAGTTCGTCAGTGGTCCAAACTATCTGTTAACATAACCGCCTTCGTTTTAGGATCGTTCGTTTTGAACGAAATGAAGAAAACGACTGCTTTAGAAACAAATCTACACGGACTAGAAAAATACACCAATTACAGCGTGCGGATTTTGGCGTTCACAAAAATCGGCGAAGGCGTGCAATCCAGTCCCGTCTACTGTTTGACCGAGCAGGACAGTAAGTGATTTATACTTATCTAAAAACGAATAAGCTGTTTGGACGAAAAACACTCGCAATAAACGAAAAACCCACGAATAAAACACACCATCATCTTTAGTGAAAATAAGGACTGTTATTTTGTTTTTTGATAACTAATTATTTGCTTGTTCAAAAACTATTTATTAGTGGAATAAACCCTCGTTCAAACGGTATAGTGTAACCTTCCATCCAAACAAACTAAATTTCAAATCAATTTCAGCCTTCCTCCACCGAATTACTTATTTATAATCGTATTTCTCGTTCCAGTTCCCGGGCCTCCGGACAACATAAAAGCGCTGACCGTTACATCCAGCAGTATTCTCGTATCTTGGACTCCGCCAAAACAACCTAACGGTGTCGTCATCAAATACACCGTGTATGTGAAACATAATAAGGTACGATGAGTGATTGAGTGCCTATAAACTATACGAGTTAAATAATTTTATACGCTGTCAGTCGTTGGTAGAAATCTAACAATCATTGAGTTGTATTACGGTTTCAGGTCGTGGACAAAGAAATTGTATTTGGCGACAAGAGTTCGAAAATTGAAGTGAGACGTCTCAAAGAATTTCAGCGGTATGAGTTCTGGGTGACTGCCACAACCATGAAGGGCGAAGGGCAGCCCAGTTTCCGGGTGAACCAGAGTCCGAATTCTAGAGGTAAGAATCAGATCTCTACGGCACGAAAAATAATGCAGTGTAATATGGTTTAAATAAGAGGATGTCAGTATACTATTTTTACTGTCTCTTCCCTTTGCCCCGCTCACAAATAGAAAATTTGCGTTCAACAGAATCAAACTTTTGTTTTCAGCTTGAGAATCGGAATTATGCAAGTTATAAAAATGTAAAATATTACAGTTTAAAAATGCTCATATGTAGTTTTAAAATTGAAATGATGTAAAATATAAGGGCAGACATACTTCACACGGCCACTGTTGTAGGTGAGAAGTTGGGAAGGTAAAGGGGAAATGTAATGCATATTTATACGAAACGATTAACCGTTAACCTAACGAAAAACGATTCTGAAAAGAGTTCAGTTAACAGTGTTGATAATATATATATATAATATATACGTATATCATATTATGGTAAAATAAATAGTAATTACATGTGCATTATATATTTTCTTTAGTATTATTTGTTTAATATTGTATCTATTTTCCCACTTTTCCTACGGTTTTTCCCAGTTGTTTTTATAATAAATACAAATAAGAATTTCTTATAGTACCACGCCAGTCAGATTTTCTTTCAGAAAAAGTACTATAATTGAAAATTGAAGCAAAATTGATGGTAGAAAAGTTGTTCACAGATAAAAAAATAAATAAACATCATTATAATAATGACAATAATTATCAAAACCAATACATTCCTCGCTCCACTCAGAATCTAAAACCAACGCACAACCATGTATAATGTTCTGAACTTTAGGTTTGATTGATTCACTCTAATACTTAAGCTAATTAGATGAGTTTAATTCTATGGAACGCAAATTTGCTATGTTGCGCGTGGGTCAGAGAAAGAAAAAAAAGTAGTGTGCTGACATCCTCTTAACGAAATATCATATATTGTGCTGTAGCGCCCGCCAGGGTGGCGTCTTTCGGCGAACACGTGAACGTCGTGGTTGGATCGAAGTGCGTGATCGAGTGCCACAGGGTGGGCATGCCCACGCCGTCTGTCGAATGGAACGAGCCGAAAGGCACCAAGACCAAGTGAGTCAGATCGATCGATTCGGTCGCAGTCGAAAATTGACTATGTGGTTTTTTTTTTTTTTTCATCGCGTTCTTATTAGGGTCCTCTCGGACGGCAGCCTGTCTGTTGGTCCCGTAGACGACAGCTCGTACAAAGGCAACTACACATGTCACGTGGAGAACATATTCGGCAAGGATTACATATCGTATACGATCAACGTGCTGTACCCGCCAGCCGCCCCGGACTTCCAAGTGGACGTGATTTCGACCAGCGCCCTGTTGGTTCAGTGGAAACCGGTCAAACAACCGGACGCCGTGACTACGTCCTATGTAATCTTCTATCGAACCGACGACGAACAGCCACAGCGGGTAGACGTCGATTCGGACCGGTTCACGTACACTGTTGACCGGCTTAAGTGCGGGTCCAAGTACACCGTGACCATGCGCACAATGAACACGGTTGGCGTCAGTGGTGACAGTCCCGTCACAGAGGTTTTCACCAAAGGCGGAGGTAAGCATACATAAGCCAAACCCTGTTCGACAGAAACCAATATATTATCTATTTCACTAATAATACAGTTTAACGGGCATCTGAAACTATAAAAACGCTCGAATAATGAATTTATTACTTATAACGTGATTACCGTCATCGGAGAGGAGGAGGGGAGAGAAACCATTAAAATATATTAATAAAAGGAATGGAATTGCACGTGTGTGAAACCCATAAAAACGGACAGTCTCTACGTGACGATAATAATAATACGATGTCGGTCAATTTCGAATACCTTTGCGCGGCAGGATCTAGCGAAATGAGATCGTCGGGAGCGGGAGGGATGACGTCGTTAGGACTTCGTTCCGGAAATCGATGTTTAACGTTCCACGCTAAACCCAATCATTAGACTACTCTATATAATATAGGTACTCACCTAAAATGCCGGTTGCCCAAACCGTTTTCCGAATGGATGGGAAGAGTCTATTTCCAGGAGTTATCCGTTTCCACCAAAAACGCTGATATTCATTTCCGCCAAATCACAAAATTGGTCGATTTTCTTTTCTACTAAAACCGTACCTTTCCCTTTTTCGCAAAATAACAACAATTTAATCTAATATTTGAATATTAATGTATGATTATATCATCCATTTTTATTATTGTGTTATAAAATAAATTTCAAAATGTTCACAAAAAATTGTTCTACATGGGTGATAAAATTAAATTAAAACTATAAATTCTTATTTACAATAATTATAAGATATTTTTTTTACGAAGTTGTATGTGAAAATTTAAAAGAATAAAAGTATATACAAATATTTATATTAAATTAAATTAAATTTTAATGTATATAATTGGCCATATTTAAATATTACACTAAATTTTTTCATTTGGCGGAAAAGGGAATCGACCAATTTTATAATTAGGCGGAAACGAGAATGGTACGTTTTTGGCGGAAACTGATTATGCTCGTACACGAATTGAGTGTCCGTTACTATACCTATATTTCCGTCAAATTTTTATTTTAAAACACGTTTATATATATACAAAAAAAAAAAAACTATTCAAACTTTAGATTTTTTATTATTAAGTAAAACTTATAATGAACCTCGTATTAAATTTGCCAGATGGTCAAACAATTGTATGCGCGTAATATCTACAAAATAAAAAAAATTTTTAAAAAAAACCGTTGAATGTCTAAAAATAGTGTTGCGGGCGTATTTTTAAACTCAGAGTCAAGTTCAAATCAAATGAGTAGACGCGAAACCTAACAATTAACGTTTAAAACTAACTTGCGTTTTTAATTCAACTTAATTCAAGGTATTACATCTTAGGGCGTTCACCTCCTATTTAACGGAATCGTTAAATTTAATAATTAAAAAACGTCCGAAAACTCAACAATTCTCAGGTTGACTAACATTACCTAACCTATAACTAAAATTTGGTGTCGTGTTGGCAGTGCCCAAAGAACCTGACAAGGATGCGGTGCTGTCAGTGAACTCGACCAGCGCCACGTTCACGTTCAGCTCATGGCCGACGCAAATGTGCCCAATACTTTCGTTCACGTGCCAGTACATGGCTCGTGGCAACCACGGAGCTGGTGTGTGGGTGAAATTTCCCAGGCAAAACGTGGCTGGCGACACGTTCACGATAAGTCGTCTAAAACCGGCCTCCGTCTACACCGCTCGCGTGTCCGTTCACACCGAAGCCGGCGATACGTCGTGGGAACGCACGTTCGCCACCCGCACCGAATCCGGCGGTGAGTATTTACCTACTGATTAGTCTACAACGATCATCGGTTATGAAGTATATAGGTTCATATGCGTAACTTAGAACGTTATCGGGGGTTTTTATATCAGTACCCCCCCACCCACTAGTTTAAAAAAAAAGTCCCTTTACTCGATTAACCGAAAAGAATACTCTATATTCCGAGGTCCCGTAGTATCCGCCATTTTGGATTCTGTATTCTAATTTGAGTTTTTTCTATTCGATCAAACAAATGATTGACGTCAAGAATTTCAGTTTCCGCCTTAGTCGTATTTTATAATCGAAAACGCGTTTTGAAATCTGTGTGTTGTAGAATAAGTCGGAAAAAAAAGCGTTGTTTATAAAAAATTTTATGATAATAAACACCCATTCTTCCCGAGTGTTTTGGGTCTATAGGATTGGTCCACAAGGGAAGCTCATCTACAAATGTATGTTGTGGCACTTCTAAGCAACCCCGCATATGTGAACTGATGAAATGAGACGACCGTTTCGAGAGTATTAATAATTTTTTTTTTCTTCCAGGTGTAGTACCGTTTGAAACTGATTACATCGACGGCGATGGCGCGGGTGAAGACGACCACATCGGTGGCCTGAGCTTACCGAGTTTTGCTCAGTTGCATAAATACGTGCCAGCTGTATCTGCGATCGTTTGCATCGTATCGTTTTGCGTCTGCATATGCGTCGTGATTCAAAGGAGGTAAAAACCATTTTTTTTTTCTTTTAATTAAAATTTTTCGAATTACGATTATACAAAAGTAGATACATCGCATTTCATGTTATGCGATTTTTCTTTCAAGATCAAAAACGAAACCCATAACTTATGTACGAAATCTCGAAGAAGAATAAGGCGTATTTATCAAGAATCTGGTTTTTATTTGAAAAAAAAAAAAATGTTTACTTAAATGTAAACAAACCTAGTTTTGAATGGTAGACGATTTAAAAATAATATATCAAGGAAGTGACGGCCGGCTTGCTTCTATTCTCAAGGTCTCTCTGTAATGTTCCCATTTTTGTTTTGTTGCTAAAAACTGCTCGAGGACTTTGTTTATACCCTCATTGTTAAAACGCTATTCTATACATAAACCATCGGATTTGTTCAGAGTCTACAAAACAAAATTCACATCGCTACGCTCAACTATGATAATACAATCATAATGCAATAAACAACAGACCCAAAGACATAATAAAAGTACTAATTGAAAACTGTTATCACTAATTTATAATATTTTAAAACCTTCATCTGAGTTTAAAGAAAAAACGATTGTTCGTATCATCATTGTTCAATATTGTGAAACATACCTAGGTATTAGTTTTACATAAATAATTTATGTTTACAAGTGCCACTCGACTTTGCTTGGTGACGATATTACGATAATATTATGCACAAGGCAAATTATGTAACTACCTACTCGTATACGGTTTAACGTAATCACGCGAGTTTTCGTCACACGAGTGTCCCGAGTACATACTTACACGCGAGCATTGTGACGGTGTAGATAGATAGGTACCTACTTATATCCGGGTTTCGAGTCTACTGCTTCCCAAAAGAGGATAATTAATTCGAGGGTCTTTGTTTAAGTGGACAAAATAAAGCCGAGTCGTTTTTTTTTTTTTACCTCGACGACAAAACACGTGACAAAATGACAAAATATCTAAGATTAAGTGTGCGTGTGTGATTATATAGGTTTTAGGTATATAGCCGATTAAATAAAATACCGACATTGCAAAACGCGGTATACTGCAGTCAATTGGAAAAAATCTTAGATTTTCGATTTGAATTTCGGAACTGTTTCGATATTACAGATGTCCACTACCGCGATTATTGATAGGTACTATGGTTGCCCGCCGGTCTATGATAAAGTGTCACCGAATTAAATCCAGTAGTCACGAAAAACTTGCGCGCTCCACGCGGATTTTTACTATATTGTCACTGTAGCGCGGCGTAAAATTTGCGGAATTTCTCCACTCGACATTTTTTCGCACCGTCCCACAAACGCCAGCAGTTTGAAAACCAGCCTATTCGTGTTAATTTTATTCGATTTTCATTTTATGACAATCTGATCGCAGGCCGACCGGCAACAATATATCATAGTATATACAATCGTGTCCACTGTCCGGAACCAATAAAAATTTAATTCTGTGCTCGGTCTTGACAGGAATAAAGACGACGGCCCGCGGCGCCCGTCCAGGAGTGACGGCGGTGACGGTGGCGTTGGTGGCCCGATGGCCGAGATGAGAAAGTCCAGCTACGAAGCGGACAGGCAGATCGAGTACGCGACGTCCACGTTGAGGAAGAACAGGAACGGGCCGGCCGCCGACAAAGGATGCACGGGCGGCAAATCCGTTGACTACGACGTGTGCCCGTACGCCACGTTCAGCGTGATGCAGACGGCGGCGCCGGCGCCGCCGCCGCCGCCGTCGTTGCCGGGCATCTGCCACGGCAGCCGGACGCCCACGCATCACAGGGCGCTCAGCCAGACCGACTGTTACGAGACGCCCGACCACCACGTCCGCGGCCTGATCGACAAGTCGTACGGTGAGCGGTCCCCGTCCGTCTCCGTCACACATAACCTAACCTAACCATACAGTTAAACGCTCGTCTCCCGGAAACACGTAGTCAACACGTGCTGTCAGAACGGTCGCTCGTTATTAGCCACCCGATACGTAACCGTGCGTTTTAAATAGGTACCCGTGCTTATCGCCGCCATCAACGCGTCGATGGCGTTTCAGTGAATTAACACGGAAACGGTTTGCTCTGCGACACTATTGTTCGGACCCCGACTGTCGAGGCGCGCATTTTCCCACGCGACGCATAGCGACGTGGTTCGGCGCGGTACATCAGCGTTTGTTTTCGATAAATATATTATCGAGTTTTTTTTTTTTTTTTTTTTTTCCGATTATAATTCCGATATGAGCGAGTGTATGACGGGGGGAGGAGGGGGGGGGGGGGGGGGGGGGGGGGCGAACGGCCAAATACGAATCGATAACGCACTTATTTGTCGATACGTGCATATCGGGTGGATCATAACGAACCGCGAGTCCGAAACCGGGTGCGCCGTTTGTTGATATGCGTCCCAGAAACGTCCGTTTAACGAGTTCCGTTAGTTGCATAATCGGGAAGAACACGATTGCCGTATGTTTTTCGATAAATTAAAGAATACTTAAACGAAAAATAAAATCAACACGGTTGCGTACGAATTTCGTTTTTGGCGGAAAAGGGTTATACTGATATTAGCGAACCGGTTTTTTGACAGATAAGGACTATTCTCACTAGAGCCCTGCGCAGACCAGACCAGCCTAACTCAACCCGATCTGAAGTCAGATTGAGATGGTTCGGACCTACCCATTTTTCGGACCGGATCAGTTCGGACTCGTAAAATAATTCATAAATAGTAGGGAACGGATTTGTATACACTTAAAATTCATAAAAAAAAGGGCTTAAAAACGTGATAAAAACCCTCAAAAAAATCACTTAAAAATATTGAAGAGTGCAATAAAGGTGGAGGGTTTAAAAGTTGCCAGATCTTCGTATCACATTGGATTGGGTCGGACTGACTTAAAATTTCTGCCGAGTCGAATCGGATTCACTTTAGACGGTCCGTGCTGGGCTCTAATGTCCACAGACACAATACAGTTTCTATTCTAGAAGAAAATTCAACAAAACGGTCGATTTCCGAACATATTATAATTTCAAACATTGAACCAAATGTCATACATTTCGGGTAATACCCCTAACCCCTTCCTAGTTTTAACGTCTGCCGTCTAATAAAACTACATTTTTACTGCAATCATCATAAACGGCGGTGCTTCATCTTGTACTCCTTAACGTAAGCTCGTTCATAACAAACAGAATAAATCGGAACTCAACGCTGGTACTTAATGAACGCCAATTACCACTGTAAATTCTTCCGTTTCTACATGTCATACTCTTTTGCTCTCCTTTTTACACTAGTTCACGCTTCTTCATATTATATAATGACATTAAATATAATTTACAATAATTATATTATTGTTCGGTTTAGAAATATCGTATATATCCAATCAACAGACCCTTCCGATGACGTCCGGAAAATCATCCCGAAAAGCCGTGGCACCACCCGTGCACTTTATAACGGCAGCGGACATTGACGATGGCGAACAGCGTCGAAACATGTCATCGAACACAGTGCGGAAACAGAGTTCAGGTGATTTAGACAATTTAACTATTGTTATAGGTAATTTAATGTATACCTGTAAGCAACGATAAACCATTGCTTACGAAAAAACGATTCTGAGCTGAATTCAGTTGATAGTGATGCTTTGTTAACAATATATCTATATAATTTTATGGTAAAATAATTAAATACGCTTTATATATTTTCTTTAATAATATTTGTTTAATGTTTTACCGATTTTCCCAGTTTTCCTACGTTTTTCCCGATTTTCCCAGGTTTTATCTGTTTTTCACATTTTCTCGGAAAACTCTTTGGAAAATCAAAAAATTACTTCTCTAAAGTACCTCTCTAGTAAAATTTCCTTTTATAAAACATTTCTATCGTTAGAAGTTGGAGCAAAATAACTTGAAGAAAAATTATTCACAGGAAAAAAAAAAGGTCGTAATACATTTTAACTAATATCTAAATTTTTTAAATTTTCTGGTTTTTTCTCAGTTTTTTTTTTTTTTTGTTTGTTCAAATTTGATGAGAAAACTCTAAAAAAAATCGAAAAATTACCTTCCAATGCCGATTTCCTTTCAGAAAAGGTGATACACTTAAAAATCTGAGCAAAATGAAAAAAAAATTAAACATCTTTGTAAAACCATAGGCTTCTTTGCTCCATTCAGAATCTAAAATGTATACATATAACTTTAGAGAAATGCAGTTGGACTGTCAATCATTCGTGTTAAATGCAATGTCATTATAATAACTGATACGATTACCTGTCAATAATAATAAACCTTAATTATTAATATCTTATTAGGAATACTTTCATTTTGTATTCAGAATTAATTTTTATAAAAATAATTGTAATATCATTGTGCTCATGGGCATATTGTATTTCAATGAAAGATAAAAATTTAATAAGTATAATTATATTTATAATTTATAATGTAGCAGTATAGAATAAACAATTTAAAATTACAAATTAAAAACATTTTTTGAGTTCAATGAAGAAATATTTATAATTGTAATAGAAAATATTTAGAATAAATGTTCGAATATTTTCTTTTGATAAGACTTAAAATAGTATTCGAATACAAAACAATTAAAATTAGAACACTTTTTGCTACATTAATATATTCTATACAAATACTTACAAAATTACAACACTAAAAACCAATTACTTTCATTATATCAAAAAATTTGGATATACTGCCTACATAACAAATTTGCAAATACAAATATTAATATTATATATTTCACAAAAATAAATACCTACATTTTTGGTAAATGATTTGATTATTTTCTCTTTTTTAGGTAATGGTGGTTATATGATCTTCAACTATGATTATTATACCTAGTGATGGCTATTTAATAAAATAGGTACCTATTTATTTTCTAAATACAGTTTTAACTTTTTGTTGAATCTAAATATTTTTAAATATATACATGCATAATAGTATATTATATATAGTAGTTTACAAGTAAACAATTTTCAAAATATATATCCAAATGTACAGATGAATATTTTTATCTCCTCAGCCTAACTATGTACTTTGTAAAATATTTGTCTTAATATGATTTGTGATGGTTAAAAGCATAAAAAAAATCCGAAAAAAACGTTTAATATATACAATAATCGAAAAACACATTGTATATGAATACATAAATTATGTATATTAAGATAACAAATAATTTAAAAAGTAAAGTTACATCATTGCCCCATCTTAACAATTTTCCTGAAGATTAAAACTATAATGCCAAAATAAATATTTTTCTAATTTATAAAATAATTGTTTGTATTTATATTATAATATATATAGCTTGAACATAATTGTACAGGCACTTCTTAAAATCTTAATTACACGTTAAACATATTTAATGAAAATTATTAACAATACCAAAAAGCATAATGTACATAATTCATTAAGAAGGAATCAAACAAACCAATCATTAAATTTAAAACAAATATAAGATTATTTTTTAAATCATTAATTTTTGTAAATTTTCCTGTTGCGAAAAACCGAAAAAAGGTTTTTCGCATTTGATAAGAAAACTCCTGAAAAATCGAAAAATGACCTCTCTAATGTACTACACGTAGTACGACAATTTTTTTTTTTTTGTGTACGTGTCTTAAATAGTATATACCTATCTTTAATCGTGCTATACCTGGATGCATTAATATTAGGGTTACCAGATTTCAAAATTCAAAATACGGGACTAAAAAAATGTCTATTTCAAATACAGTGAAATCTCCCTTAACGGACACCTCCATATAAAATANAAATCTTTTTTTAAAACATTAACAGCATAGGGTAAAAATACATTAGTGATGATTTTTTTTTTAGTTCTACCAGAAGTAAATTTTTTCTCATATAATTTACGAACTAACTGAGAAGTACAATCCATAGAATTGAGACTTTGACTGTGTTTACAAGTATGATAAGCAAAAATCCCTTCATCTGCAGCTGATTTTTGTTCTTTATCAGCAAATTGTGTTTTTGGGGAAAAAAAATTTGAATAATTTTTGTGATTTAGACGCTCTAGCAGCTATATTATGTCGTTCCGATTTTAAATGTTATGTAATATCCGACTTACCACCATGTTCAATGCTGAATGCTGCTCCACACACAATACATTCAATTTTATATTCTTGTCCTGGTTTTTGACATTTTTTTTAAGAATGTGTATTCACTTTGTAACTTTTCATTAAATGTGCACTTTCTTTTGGGCATTTTAAAAATTAAAACTTAACTATCATATTATTATGTTAAAAAAACGATTATAGACTAATGTATATTACTGTGGTCCGACCAGACTGTGAATTATGATAGAACAGATAAGAATAATAATAATTTTCTTATCGACTAATCTATTTTATAATAATATGCGAAATGGTAAACATAATATNAAATTATAACAATCTATTAATAGAAACGAAATCGGTATCGGTCATAGACCTATAAAGACCTTCATAGGTCTATGGTATCGGTCGGTATGGTCATATGGTTACATTATAATCTTCTATTATCTATGTGGCCGACGGGTAGTGATAATGAATAACAAGTAGGTAATTGTTATCTCAAAACGAAAAAAGAATACAATATATAATATGGGTACATATTTTAGCAAACGGGACATTTCAGTGTCCCGACAAGAGTTGCCGGGACAACGGGACACTTAGTCAAAAAATGAGACATTCCCGTATTATACGGGACGTCTGGCAACCCTAATTAATTTACCAAACACGCTGAGCATTACGTGGTTGTGCTTTGTGGTAAAAAGCAATTTTGATTGTTATATAAGTAATTTTTTTTGTAGGCATTTTAGGATAAAAATATTTTAACAAAAATCGTAAAAATTGTGGCATTTTGAAACCTAACCGAAATCGCTAAAAATAATGTTCAGTAAAATTATATTATGTAATTAAATTACAAACAAATTATATATTAATGTAATAATTAGGTAAAAAATATACTTATAGCACCTGGTTGATAGATACGAATCTAAAACGAAGATCTGGGGAGGGGGCATCATTTTTTCACAACAAATACAATTAAAGTATAATATAATACATTATATATGTTATTTTCTCATAGGTACAATTCTCATACAAAAATCGGAGAAATAATATGTCTGAGGGGGCCTGGGGCCCTAGTCCCCTCCCCCTGGATTCGTCCCTGCTGGTTGTTATGGCTGGGTCCGGACTTTGAGGCTACAGCCTCGGCTGCCCCCCTCTCGCCGTACATGTCAAAATTGTGTATCAATACTTTATTTTTGGCATTTATTAGTTATTAGGTGCCTGCCTATATTAGATATACTAATTGAGAACTGAGCATTATAAATTATAATACCTACTCGGCTACTCATAAGTCATATTAGTTATACAAATATTACATTAATAGTATGCTTATATCAGTTATACCTAGGTACCTACCGTAACTAATTTTCAATGCCCAACCTAATCTACTTACTTTATTTTAGATAAGCATTTATTATAGTCTAGTTAGGATTTTTTTTATAAAATACTAGAAGAATTGGTTAGGGTTGGGCACTGGCCAAGCAACTGATTACGTTAGGAATAAATTTGGAAAATAATATTTTAGAAATGTAATGATGTTTGTGGGAAAATTATGTACCTACATACACGTTGTTAAATAGTATTTTCGGCCATGGTCAAGTGTGTAGGTTAGGTGGATAAAAAATTAGTAATTAGTTAATAAAATAATTAATGGATATTAATCCATCTTGGTGAATAGTATCATTACAAGTATTAAGTGGGAGGAAAGGTAGGTATAAAGGAGTGAGGCCTTTCATGAAGCGCAAGGCCCTGAACAAATGTCCAATCTGCTCTATCTTTTTGCCGGCTATGAATAGAAGGGAAAATGCCAGACGAGTAAAAAGTGTTTTATTAGATAGGTACCTAAATATATTTAAGACAAAAAAGATAGGTATATAAGAGTGTGGAAATTGTAAAGGAATAATAAAAAATTAAAATTAATAAGACATAGTATTTCAAGATTATAAAAAGAGAATTATAAGTAAGGCTTCAATAAAATTTAAGAACCAATTTGGTGTTTGCCAGGCAATTCAACAATAGGTCAAGTTTTTTGTACAAGACAGACTGTAGATAAGTATAAAAAAAAGAAAAATCAATGTATGGCTTTTATAGATCTAGAGAAGTCATATAATATGATAATGCTGAGAAAGGTTCTGATTAGGGCATTAATGAGAAAGGAGTTCAAAAATTGAATGTCAAAAGTATATGTAGATTATCAGAAGCTTTTGAGATTAGAGTAAGTGTGCATCATGTTTTGGCTTTGAACCCTTACCAGTTTTCTATTGTAGGTACCTAATTAAGTTATGAAATAAATACAATACAAGGTACCACAGTGCATGATGTTAGCAGATTAATAGTTTTGATAGGAGAAAATCTGAAAGAAGTTGACAAACGTGTAAGTACAAAGTATAAGCGTTTAAAAGCGTGTCAAAAAATCTTTTTATATCTTACTGTCTAAGACTCAACGTGAAACAGCCTAGTATGATGGAAGTTAAAGAATATACTTAGTCTGGGAAATTCCATATCCATTTTTTTAAAAAAAAATTATGGTTTTGTTAATTAAAAAAACAAGGCCACTTTATAATTTTAAATAAATTAGAGTAGATAAATTTTGATTTTATAATAATGTCATTAAAAAAGCTATTAAATTGCTGTTTCTAAAAAATTAAGTTTAGCTGCCACAACCATCACATAATGGTAGATTTGTTGAAATAAGTAATATCTAAACATGTCCAAACTTAAAATATTAATTTTTGTTTTCAGAATCAAGAGGAGTGCGCCGACTGTACAATTAATTCCACAGATCAGTGATGAGAAGAAACTGGAAAGAAAAAAAACAAAAATATATAACTTGGCCGTTGGACCATCGTAGATTTTTTTTATTGTTTAACATATTTTATATATAATATATAATATAATATTATGTTTTATCATAATAATATAATTATTATAAACAATGTTACATTTTAAATTTATTTATAAAAATAAGTTACATAAGAAATAAATTATTAATAAAATAGAATGGCATTAGGAGATTACCTATTTGTGTTCTTGATTGAGAAAAAAAATATATTTTCATTTCCCTATTATTTGGATAACAGAAAAATTGTATAACAAAACAGTAAACATTCAGTAAATCGCTAATATCAAATTAAATGAATTCTTTAAATAATAAATTATTCTAAATGACATTAAACAATATGCAAGGTAAATAAATACTATATACACTTAGTTATTTTAAAAATTATTGCTTCGCTATTAACAAAATATTTATAATAATACATCAGTAGTTATTCAAACTGCCAAATATTACTAAATTTCCTATACAATCTTAATAATTATGTTACAATATAATTAAATGATATTGTGCTCAACACTAAGCTACCTTGGTTTACAATTCCCAAATGGAAAAATAAGTGGTGTGAAATTAATATTAATTTATTATTGGTTTATTGACTTAAACAAAGGTAACGGCAAAACATAATAGCTTATTTAAAAAGGTCTTATAATCACTCAGTCCAATTCCAGGTCTCAATATGAATCACCGACAATATATTGTTTTTTCGCCCAGGCCGAAAAAACGTACTGGGTTTTGATTAGGTACACCGATAGTATACTAAACAGGCGATTGTTGTTGTGATTTTTCACACTCTTGTTTCAACATCATCCTGTCTAATTTGTCAACAGTTGCGTTCAGTTCACTTTCCCAGCCTTTACGATCTTCCACACCTTCTACCTCTTCAGTTCTTTTGCTTTCCATCATTAAGGGTTTGGTAGCGAGATCTCGTACTTTTTGACGCAGTTGTTCCAGTTCCTTAAAATTAAAAGATAAAACAAACAATATTATTACTAAACAAGATAAATATTGTTCTTTATATTTTTTATTTAGTATATAATGACAGTTTATCCTCAGATCAAAATAAAATAATTTAATTTTAATGGATATCAATTTTTCGCACAGGTATTTTTTGAATTTTTGTTGTTAATCGGGTAAAAATAATTGTAGAGGTTAAGTTTTTGAGCTATTTATAATATTTATATGAATTCAAAATTTTCGAATTAATTAAGTTTTTTAAAAAATGATGAAAATAACGTAGTAGGTAGTTTTTTTTTAAAGCATTTTAAAATTAAATGTTTCCCTATTTATAAACATGAATTTCGAACTTTACAAAGAATCTATGTTCATTATAATTGGTTTGTTGAATAGACACAAATTAAATAATTTTATGTATCATATCTTCCAGTTTACAACAATTACACACCCATAAACAGTATTAGCTATTTTTAAAGTCTTAACCATATAAACAACTGATATATTTTTTAAAACCTATGTTTAAATTTTTATATTACCTTTGTATTCACTCTGTTATATGTTATTAAGTATTCCAAAAGGTTAGGAAATTTAGATTCCTAAATAAATGCCTCTTTTTTATTTAAGTAATCTTGAATTCAATCTTTTGATATTCCTATTAATTTTTTGAAACTTTCTGAATTGAAGATGATAATAACATAACTATTTAGTAATATTTCCTACAAAAAACGGTGGGATAGAAAAATCCTAAGATATAATAATTATTTAAAGAACCATTTAAAAAAAATTTAATAATTTTTTTATAAAAAGTAATATAAACTTCAACAAATATTTAATTTTGATGAAAGAGGTTGTTTGTTAATTCACAGTTCATTGCATTGATGTTTATAAGGTATTTACTGAATAATAAAATATTTAAGATTTTTAAAAAAAAACATGTGTTTTCTCTATAATTTAATAGTTTTTAGCAAATAAAATAAAACATTTTTATATAAATGGGTAGTATATCTATAAATGTAACTATTAGATAAACATGACGTGTGATTTAATAATACTATAAATTATAGATAAAATACACACATTTTTATATATTTAATGGTATTTATTTCAGTATGATAATAGTATCAAATTTAAGGTAAATATCTTAATACCATGGTCACTTGGCTATCTTCGTCGAAATCCAAGTCGTCTGCATCACTCAAAATGGAACTGGTATCGATAGACAGACTGCCTAGACTTCTTGAATCGCACTTATCCAAATTCCAATCTAAATTTATATCTTCCATGCCATTAGCATCCTTTTTATGGTCTAGATCTTGCCAACTGTTGACCATGGAAGAAACTTCAGCACCAACACCAGGTTCGCGTTGGCCCTGTAACGAACATTCCTATCAAGGAACATTAACTTATAAACACTGATAATTATTTTTATATTGGAAAAATTAAATTAAATTTCACTAATAAAATCCAAGTTTTACCGTAGGTTTACTATTTTGTCGTTGTACATGAATTTCTTCAGAAATTTGTTCGAGCCTGTGTAAACATTCTGAATATTCTTGTTTAGCACGTTGCACGGCATATCGGATATGAATAATTGTATCTTTTTGTGCTGCTAGTTGACCTTCACATAAATATTTTTCTTCAAAGTATGGACCTGATTTAATAATGTTACGTTTAAACTTTTGCTCCAACATCTGAACCTATAGTAACATTGTTAACATTTTTTTATTGAAATAATGTTTACTATTTGTAATTAATTAAATAAATTCAAAATGTACCTTTTGTTCGGCGGCTTGGTAGAGGGCAGCTTTCCTTTGATGCTCACGCCCACTTTCAGTCTTTTGATTTTCCGCTTCAGTTACCTATACAAATTGTATTGATAATTGATGTTATTTAAATTTTATTTATGCATATTTTAAAATAAACAATGTTTAAAACTTAATATATTACACAAGTGCAAAATATATACAATTTGATTTAAATGTAAAAATATTACAGTATAGTTCTATTAGTATATTAGTACCCTATGTTTGACAAAAGTAATCAAAAATTGACAAATTATAATAAAAATAAAATACCATAAAAACTCTGAATACCTACATAATAAGATACCTAAACTGTATTTTTGGCACCAAAAGCCAATATCTGGACCATGCTCAATGTTAGCTAGGCATAATACTGCTTCTATTTACTATATTATGTTTACACTACAATTCTCAAATTGTAAAATAATACCTTTAGTATAGCGTTGTTTAACATTTCTTGCCACGCACTATCAAATTTCCATACATGTTGTTGACTAAGGAACCGTTCTTCAGCTAATGCTACAGTTTCTTTAGCAGCTTGATGAATTTCTGAAATCAAATCCATCCAATAATCTTAAAACTACTCTATTCAATGAATAAAATTTAAATATTAAAAACTTGAATCTTTCTGATTAAGTATAAATGGTATAAATAAATACACATTTGTACCATATAATAATATAGTTAAAATGTTAAAAAACGTTTACATAAAAAATTTAAAATTAGTATTAAATATTTAATATTGCATTGTGGCGTATTTTTAGCATATCTGTACTTTTTTTTTTTTTTGTAAAAATTATACATATTATTTGTTTTTAATATAATATATTATGCTTTTTACAAAATATTTCTTCAGAAATCTTAGATACAGCTGGTTGGATATTAATTGTAATACATAACGTTTATGCCCTTTCTTACATGAATTACTGTATTATATTATAAATAATTGATTAGTCTATTCTAATAAAATATAAATACAAAAAAAACCGAACAAAGAAACAATATTTATAATATAGTATAAACAGTTCTCCAATCTATCCAAAGAAGGTTTACGAATTAGATAAAAAAAAAATATTTAAAAATAATTTGAATATATGATAAGATTATACAGGTACTTGAAAAGTTTTATGTTTGAAATAATGTAATAATTTCTTTTCAAATTGTACAGTACACAAATCAATCTTATAAGTACCATTGCTCAGAAAACAAAACACACTACGGAATAAAGCTAAAGCGGACAAGTTTTTTTTGGTATGTATATAATTAAATAATTTAAATTTGAACATGGATATTAAGTAACTATAAAGTATTTAATTGTATGTACCTACATTATGTTTACTGACAGATAATAATCAGAAATGTATTACATCAAACACATGGCCCTAAAATTATTTTATACAATCCATTATTATATATTAAACAAATAACTTTAAAATTTTATATTTTAGTTTTTAAATACACAAAAAATGTATTTTGTTTTATTGTTAAATTGTACTTTTATAACACTTTAATATATTATATTTAAATTAAAAGTACGATATTAAAATTATTTTTTGTCAGATGGTCTAATTTATATATTATAAAAAAATAATTCATAAAAAAAATATATTCTGATTCATTAAAATAATTTATTTAATTTAAATTTAGTTAATACTAGTTTAGTTAACACTCATAAGGCATGTTGCTTTTAATCTGCAATATTTTTAAGCAACAAAAGTACTTCAAACAAGTAAACAAAGGAAATTAGTTAATTATTTATGTAATAACAATGCAATTATCTTCCTACTGACCTTATACTGTGACTTATTTTTTTATTCAGTAGGTATATACATTTGTTTTCAATAAAACACTTTTAATAATAAATATTCTACAGGTTATATTAAGCAAAGAAAAACAATTTTTAAATAATTTTCAATCTATTGGACATTACCATTTGCTTGTTGGTATTTAACAGCTGCAATCTGACATTGCTGTTGAGTTTGTTTACACAAACTAAGGGCTTCATAAAATGGTCGGGCTTTTTCAATACATGAACCTAGTTTACGGGCTCGTACCTTTAATCGCCTAGATGCTTCAGCCATCAACATTCTAAATGTTGTGTTTGCTTCCTATATCAAATAACAAATTATAAATTAATACCATAAAAGTTTGTAAAAAAAAAAAAATATTACTCTAAATTTAAGTGCCTATCTAAATATCAAATAAGTCAAGTAAATTTTGTGTTCCTTATCAAAACTACATTTTACATATTTTACTTTAATAGCTTATAATACAATAAAAACAATTAAGTAATAAAATAGACACAAAGAATTAAATATAACAAATTGAATAATAAGTATATATATTATATTATGTAATTTATTTGAATAACTTCGTCCTTTTGTTTAGAACTTTGAAAAAATATAGTTCATTAATTTAATAATAAGCTTGATATTATGTAACATAAATTACAAAATAATAAGTTTTCAACTTTAGGCTAGGGACTAATACAATTTAAAACCGTTTTTATTTTACTTACGTCTAATTCGATTTCAAGTTTGTTTATATTGTCTGTGGCTGAATTAAGCTTTTCGAGTTCCAACTAAGATAAACAGAAAAGCAATAACAATCATAGTACGATCATAAAAAATGTCGAAATCAGTTTTTATACTTGAATTCTAGGATCTAAACTGTCTTCATCATTGTATTTGGACGTATCGTTTTCCTGATTACACTGTCCACTGGACGAGGCCATAATTTAAACAATAAAGATTTGTGACCTAATTAATGCATTGCAATTTGAAAAAAAAAATACAAATTAAATGAATTAAAAAGCAAACAATAAAATAATAAAATTGAAAGAAAATAAAAATAATCTTGTCAGTGTTTATTGTGTAGCTATTGGAATATTATAAGCAGGTTCTATATGTGATAATGCGGTACGAATGATAACGAATAAACATCGTAGATAAAACACATTAAACGGATAACCGCCATTGCGGTATAAACCGCGTTTTTTCCGACCTCGACCTACAACTACCGGGACCGTATTCTTTTCCGTTTGTGCATTAATGTCGTTGTCGTCGTCCTCGTTTTTCATTTTTCGAATGTAATAAAATAATAATAATAATAATAATAATAATAAATATTGATGTTTGTGTGTGCGCGCTCGTGTAGTTACAATAGGTACAATAATAATAACGCGCACACACGAATCATTG